ATTCATAAATATAATAATAAAAATAATATTTATAAACAGTTTTATTTTTTCAGAAATCGTTATAATAGACTGGTTTGCTGCTCAATAAACATTCATTCATTTTTTCCGGCTTTATTAAATTATTAGTCACTTTATTAAATTGGGATTACCACAGCGGAATGAACCGCCAACTAACCCAGCACATGTTTTACGCAGCGAATGCCCTTCCAGCCGCAACCCATCTCTGGGAAACATCCATACACTACAGACAGTTAACCCACATGAATGCAGGGAAAACATTTTGCATCTACACAGCAAGGCCAACTGACACAGCCGAGGCTCGAACCAGCAACTTTCTTGCTGTGATGCGACAGCACTACCTACTGCTCCACCGTGTCGCCTCAAAAAACATTTAATATTGTTATTATTAATAATAATAATATTTATGAACAGTTGTATTTTTTCAGAAATCAGTCATGGGTTCGAGTCCCGACTGGGTCAGTTGGCATTTCTGTGTGAAGTTTGCATGGTCTCCCCGTGTTGGCGTGGGTTGAATACACTAAATTGGCCATGGTATGTGTGTGTGAATGTGAGAGTGGTTGTTTCCCAGTGATGGGGTGCTGGAAGGGCATCCGCTGCATAAAACATTATGCTGGATAAATTGGCGGTTCATTCCGCTGTGGCGGCCCCTGATAAATAAGGAGACTAAGCTGAAAAGAAAATGAGTGACTGATTGAATGAACAGTTGTATTTTTTCAGAAATCATTATCATTTGCTGATTTGAGCTCAATGCACATTTATTAATAATAATAATAACAATAATTAAAATAAAATAAATTAAAATAAGATTTATGAACAGTTGTTTTTTTCTGAAATTATTATAATATGCTAATTTGCTGCTCAATAAACATGTATACAATTATTTTTAAAAATTTAACAATTTAAAACACGTGAAACAATTGTAAAAATAAATAAAACAAATTGAATGGTGTGAATTTTGTCTTGATGTGCTGCAAAGTGTTTTTTCAGTAGCCCCTTTCACACAGTGATACCGGTAAATATCTGGAAAATTTCCGGAACGACTTTACCGGTATATTCAAAAAAGCGCTGTACACACAGGCGAGGACGTTACGGAAATTTTCCGGAAAAGAGCATTCACACATCCATTCCAAAATACCGGTAAATTCTGACATAATTCACCACAAATGAGCTTTAAACGGCTGCGCTTGTATTTGTAAACATTTGACTAAATTACAAACTCTGTGGATGATCAATATTGTGAACAACTTTCGCATGTCGAGATGTTCATAATATGTGCGTGTGCAGGCGCTCACAGGCTGTTTCACAGGCACACGCAAAGCTTGAAGGTAAACAAACAACGGCTTATCATAAGCATCTCATCGATGATTATTTACACAGTTTGCATTAAGAAGAACATATAAACGTGATCTGACTAACTTCTAGCAGCTAAATGTGTCTGGAAAAATATTCAAAGGCTTTTATCCTCACAAACCGCGCGGACGTAAATGCGTCTGACTGTTGTGATTGGCTAAAGCAGACGTCTCACGTCAGCACGTTCTAGACGTGCACGCGCTTATTACGGGAATCTTCCTTCTGCATTCACACAGCGCAGCATTCCGGCAAATTGCCGGTAATGTTACAACTTCTCTTTCCGGAAAATAGCCAGAACGAATTTACCGGTATTTTCAAAAAGGACCTGTTCACACATACAACCTTTCCGGAAAATTGCCGGCAATTTTCCGGAAAGGTCTGTATGTGTGAAAGGGGCTATGGACAAATAATAATTAATAAATAATAAAAAACCCTTTTTGTGCATTTTTCTGGGTAAAAGCAGAGCAGCGTGTGCTTTAATTAATGTAAATGTTTCTCTTCTTCATGTTCACACTTTCCAATGTATTGTCATTACATCAAAAGTATAAGTAATAGTTTTACAATAAACTGAGAAGCATTCCCTTCTGTTCATCTCAATGCCTGCTGCTCCACTACAGGAAAAAGCAGATGTACTGCTGAAATAGCTGTGATTTTGCTCATTTATTTTCTTCTTTTTACTTCTCGAGTGTTTGCATACCTGGAAAACAGCTGATGTGTGTGTTTTTACAATAACAACATGAACTAAATGTACACACACAGTATGAACAACAATGATTATGCAGCATTCTTCTGAGAGAAAACCTGGAAATGTTTCTGTTTTACCAAAAATAACACAGTGATGAACACATAAATAATGCATGACAAGCAATGTTGTATAATCACTGTATAATCACAAAATTCATCTGTCCATCCATCTATCTGTTTATCCAGTCTTCAATCAATCCAACTATCTTTACATTCAGCCATCCATCCATCTATCTCTGTTCATCCAGCCGTCCATCAATCTGTTCATCCATACATCAAACTATCTGTTCATTCAGCCACCCATCAATCCATCTATTCATGCATCCATCTATCAGTCCATTCAGCCAACTGTCAATCAATCTATGCATTCATCCATCCATCTATCTGTTAATTCGGCCATCCATCAATCCATCTATTTGTTCATTCAGCCATCCATCAATCCATCTATTCATGCATCCATCATTCCATCTATCGGTCCATTCAGCCATCCATCAATCCACCTATTCATGCATCCATCATTCCATCTATCGGTCCATTCAGCCATCCATCAATCCATCTATTCATGCATCCATCATTCCATCTATGGGTCCATTCAGCCATCCATCAATCCATCTATTCATGCATCCATCATTCCATCTATCGGTCCATTCAGCCATCCATCAATCCATCTATTCATGCATCCATCATTCCATCCACCTGTCCATTCATCAATCCGTTCACCTGACTCAGTACTCAGCTGTCATGACTGAGCATTTCAAGAGTCTGTTCATCCAATCATTCACCCATCCATCTGTTCATCCATACATCCCTATCTGCCTGCCTGCCTCTCTATTTGTTCATCCATCCATAAATCCATCAATCTGTTAATTCTGCCATCCAATCTATTTCTGTTCATCCATACATCTGTTCATCCATCCATCATGTTCATCCATCCATAAGACTCAGTACTCAGCTTTCATGACTGTGAGAATTTCAAGAGTCTGTTCATTCATCCACCTGTCCATAGATTTATCTATCTATCTGTTTATCCATCCATCTATCCGTTCATCCATCCATCTATCTAACTGTTTATCCCTATATCCATCTATCCGTTCATCCATCCATGTATCTATCTGTTCATCCCTCTATCAATATATCTGTTTATCTATCCATCCATCCATCCATCCATCTATTTATATTTGTTCATGCATCCATCCATCTGTTCATCCATCCATCTGTCTATCTGTTCATCTATCCATTCATCCATCAGTTCATAAAACTGTTCATCCATTCATTTGTTCATTCATCCATCTATCTGTTCATCCCTTTATCCATCTATCTTTTTATCCATATATGCATCCATCCATCCATCCATCTATCTATATTTGTTCATGCATCCATCCATCTATCTGTTCATCCATCCATCCTTCCATCTGTCTATCCGTTCATCTATCCATTCATCCATCCATCTATCTGATCATTCATCAGTTCATAAATCTGTTTATCCATCCATCTTTCTGTTCATTCATCCATCTATCTGTTCATCCCATTATCCATCTATCTGTTTATCCATCCATGCATCCATCCATCCATCCCTCCATCTAGCCATCCATCCCTCCATCTATCCATCCATCCATCCATCCATCCATCCATCCATCCATCTATATTTGTTCATGCATCCATCCATCTATCTGTTCATCCCATTATCCATCTATCTGTTTATCCATCCATGCATCCATCCATCCATCCCTCCATCTAGCCATCCATCCCTCCATCTATCCATCCATCCATCCATCCATCCATCTATATTTGTTCGTGCATCCATCCATCTATCTGTTCATCCATCCTTCCATCTGTCTATACATTCATCTATCCATTCATCCATCTGTTCATCCATCTATCCAATACCATAAACAATAGAATATTATATAAATGGTTTCTCTCTTCAACAGAACTGCACATTTCACTCCTACAGACTGTTGATCATCAAAACAAGCACAGATTTCTGCACAGATCAGTCTATAAATATAAATCTGCACCTGCTGACCTGTAAACATCATTTGTAAAGATAGATTGACATCGTTCTGACTAAAGTGGTGATTAAAGTGTTTCTCCACGAAGTGTTTACGCACTTGACTCAAGCAGTTGTAAAATTATTGTGTGTGAAACACAATCTTTAAACACTTTATAATACTGAGAACTCACTGAACAGGTGCACGGACATCTCAATTCTTCATTTCAGATTTTGTCTTTGTAAAAGCTTAGCATTAATGTGAGTTGAACATTTTATTAATCTCTATTAGATTCTGCATAAATAAGCAAAAAAATAAACAAATGACTTCAACTCGTTAGTTACACCTAAAATAATTTTTTTTTATTTAATAGATTTTTAAGAATAACCTTTTTTTTTTCATTTTTATTAAATTCAAATTTAAAATAATTATTAGTTTTTTTTTCCAACTTAATTAAATGTTTTTAAAACTTTTATCTTAAATTAATTAATTATAAAAAGATAATTCATTTCATTTTAACTTTATTTTTTATTAAAAACAAAATTCAACTTAATTTACAATAAAAACATTTTCAATCTTTTTTAATAAAAAATATTCAACTTAATTTACTACATAAAATAATTTGTGTATTTCAACTTATTCATTTTTATTTTTAGGTTTTCAAAATGATTTTAAAAAAGAAAGTGCTTTTTTCAACTTAAATAAATTACTATAAATCAAGTTGAAGTAAGTCTGGCAGTGGGCGGAGTCTCTCTCTGTTTAACAACGCCCCATATTTAAATAAATACAAACTGATATCTTATATAAAACCATCCCTGCAGTTTTTGTCCCTGCTGTGTGTGTGTTTGAGGGGTGTGCTGAAAGTGTGTGGACTCGACAACATATTGTAAAAAGATGGAAAATAAAGGCACAGACGAGAATGATCTGGTGAGTGTTTTTCCTTTTTCTCTAAGCCCCTGCTGGTAGATTCTTTAATTACACCATTAATTTAATGTAAAAACTGCTGTGGTCAATACTATTTGCCCCCTTAAGAAATCAATTTTATTTATTTTTTTAATTAATACAATTTCACAAGAGGGTGAATCATTTAGCATTTCTGAAATTTCTGAATAATTTTTAAATTATTATTGTTATTATTTTAATAATTAATTTAACAAGAGGGTGGATAATTTTGTCCTCAAATATCTGTTATGCTGATATATTTTATTTTCACTAAAGTTTTTTGAAACACTAAAGCAGACACTTTACTCGCATTTAATATGAAATTGTATGCATATAAAAATCACTTTTGGCAAATTGCAGGGTTCCACTCTTTCATGAACACAAGATTCGAGGACTTTTTAAAGCACCATTCATTTTAAATCAAGCGCCTTTGTAATTCATACCCCAGCAGATGTAGCGCCACGAAAGTCCTGTAACTATTCCCTGTTACCTGTAACAATATAAATCACAAAGAGAAAGATAATAAATTATAGCAAAAACAAACAATTCTCACTGATAAAATATTAAATCAAAAAGGTGAGTTTTCAACCTGGTTTTAAAAATAAACAGAGATTAAACGTATCTAATACAGAGGGCCAAAGCGTTCAGCAAATCTAGGACTAGCTATTGTGAAAGCACGGTCACCCCTGCACTTCAGCTTTGATTTAGGGATACATAATAATCTCTGGTTTGATGACTGAAGAGACAGACGAGGCTGATGCTCAGTCAAAAGGTCTGACAGATAAGAAGGCCATTAAGTGACTTAAAAAACAAGAGCAGAATTTTAAAAGAGACATGACAGTGCACAGGGCAACCAGTGCTAATAGCGCAAGACTGGTGTGATGTGCTCATGTTTTTTTGGTATCGGTTATAAGTCTTGCAGCAGCATTTTGAGCAAACTGTAAACAAGATAGAGTTGTCTGACTGATCCCAAAATATAGTGAGTTACAGTAGTCCAACCTAGAAGTAATAAAAGCATGAATCATTTTTTTAATTTTTGTTTCTAGATAGAGTAGGACTGTTTTTAAGAGTCGAAGCTGAAAAATAGCAGGATTTAACCACTACATTTATGTGTTTATCCAATCTTTAGCCATCATCAAAGAAAACACCCAGATTTTTTTTACCTTGGTTGAAAATATCACAAACTTAATATTCAAGCACTGTTAGCTTGATTTGTGTGTGTGTGTGTGTGTGTGTGTGTGTGTGTGTGTGTGTGTGTGTGTGTGTGTGTGTGTGTGTGTGTGTGTGTGTTTAAAAATGCCTTCAACTGAAGCTTAATTCAATTCTAATCAATGTACTGCTCAAAGCTATTATGACTATTATTTTCACTCCTTGTAAAAGAGTTCAACCACTACTCAGTGTGTACACACACATTTAGCATTATTGGCAAATGAATTAATTACAGTAGTGTACAATGCATTATCAAATAATGATTACTCTAAATGTAAAATTACACTGTAAAACCCAACAGTCAACTTTATCAAATGAGTGTAGCTAACTCAAAATTGACTAAAAGTTAATTCTACTCATTTGAAAAGAGTTTTGAATTAAGTGTTGAAGGTAATGAGTTAATTAAATAACTCATTACGTAAATAGAGTAAGTTCAGAGTACTCAAATAGATTAGTTTTTTTAATGGCAATTGATTTCCTCAAACGGTTTGAGTTGACTTAACCTATTGGGTTTTACAGTACTCAGTTGGTTTGAGTTCTCTTCATTTATTCATATATTATTTATTAACTGTGCTCAAATTGCTTCGTTTACTCAAATGGATTAAATTCACAGTACTAATTATAACTAGTATTTGAATTTAAATGGTTTGTAGCAATCAATTTCCTCAAACGGTTTGAGTCACCTTAACTTTTTGGTTTTTACAGTGTAGGCGTGTAGATTATGGATATCAAAATAGCATTAAACACTAATAATACCAAGAATAAAAACGTTAAAAGTAATTATCATTGCTCTTTGTTAATATACATTTATTAATTATTAAAAAAAACACTGTAAAACATTTTAGTCTAATCAAATCACATTTTCTAGTCATCTCAGTTTACATCAGTCAAACTGACTAAAAATATTCAGTTAAACTTAAAAAATACTTTAAACCAGATTAACATAATAAAACAAGTTTAAGTAATGAAAACATTTGTTGTAAGGACTTTTTGCCATGTCATTTTTACAGTGTACATTCATAATTATCACATATTGACGTATATTTGACGTAGTAATGCACAATTTAACATTATATTATACAGAAATAGTCTTTTAAGATCATTACACGTATTACAATATAGTTAGTTTTTGTTAAAATATAAAGAAATGTAGATATAAAGAAATATCGTACTTTATTATCGTCGTTTTAACTTAAAGTCAGTAACGGTCAATGAAAACTGAATGGATATCGAGAGTATGGCACTTTATACAAATATATTGTGGCCAAAATATACCCTAATATCACTCATCTGTATCTTTAGTTTAATAAAATTGACAGCATTCGTCGATGTTAAAGATAAATCCGCTGTAAAACAACAAACATCACTTACTTCAATCTCTTGACAGACTCTCATCCGCGCGCACGTGATGACGTAGCCGCGCAAGCATCTATGCGCGCGAAGTTTAATCGCCTGCGCGGCGTGCCCGCGCACGTACATAATTAAGCTGTACGTCGCTTTGAAAATAAAACAATCAGCGGGACAAAATCAACCAAGAATGTGCTTTAAAGACTTTTAAGGTAGGTGTTTCACAAGGTGTAAGTTATGAGAAGAAAACTCTACTAAGAAGTAAGGTAAATCTGTGAAACCGGTTACATTGACCACATTTGCGTTTACAAAATACCACACGAGTCATTCTGAAAACACGAAACAAAATGTCTGCACTCCAAACACAATGTAGGTTTACTCTGTGTGTTTATTTAGCAAAGCTGAAGCTGTTCCTTTTAACTATGCCAGATTTCCGAGTTTATTAGGCAAGTTTAGTTATAACACATTTCATACACCGTGTTATCCAAAGTGCTTTACATAAACAGGAACAAAAGAGACAAGTATAAGAAAATAAAAACTAAGAATAAAAATTATTAAAACAGATTAAAATGTGTTAATCAGCCGTTCTTGTTTTATATATATATATATATATATATATATAACAAGAATATATATATATATATATATATATATATATATATATATATATATATATATATATATATATATATAAAACAAGAATATATATATATATATATATATATATATATATATATATATATATATATATATATATATATATATATATATAGGCACATTAAAAAATATAAATTTACTAATAAGAAACCAAATTTTAAGGTATTGATGACTGAATTATGCTTATGTGTTAGTAGTATCAGAAACTCTAAATAAAAAAGCCCTACACACTTTAAAACTTTGTGAATTCTACAATGTATTTATTTGATTATTACATATGTACATTTTGTATATTTGTATTTGATTTATGCTTATTCCCTGGCATGTATATTTTTTGTACTGTTAAAATGTTATAATAAGAAAAAGGATAGGTTAAAAGAATTGTACATTTATTTCACGAGTGTTTTTACTATTGTATTGATATAACACTATTCTGGTGTGGTTTGACTTTGAAACAAAGTACCAATTTAGAAATGTAAGGATAATAATAAGGATATTTTTTTTTTATGAGGACTCTGATTTTACTGTTTGATATATTGAGGATTTACTCATTAATTATGTAAAATCTGTTATTCTTAAGTGTAAATGGGCATTAAAATTACAAATGTTAAGATAGAAACAGCTCACTTCCTTTATACAAAATAATAAAGAGAAAAAAGTACATTATTTTAAAGCCTAAAACTTTTTATATATATATATAAATTTTTACAATTTGGATGCTTAATGTAACTCTGAAAACTGGACTGACTCAGTTTCAATTTACTTGACCTTCTATATTAAGCTGCTTTGACACAATCTACATTGTAAAAGTGCTATAGAAATAAAGATGAAAGCAATTGAACAAATTGGAATGCATTTGTCCTGTAATAGCCCATCACTTTTTCAAATTTTTTTTTTATTTTAATATATTCATATTATTATTTTATCAACTTGCTGTTATGCAAATTAAGAACTGGCTTCTTATTATCTTTTCTCTATGAATAAGTTGCTTTGACTCAATCTACATTGTAAAAAGCTCTATATCATAGGTCTCAAGCTCAATTCCTGGAGGGCCGAAGCTCTGCACAGTGTTGCTCTAACCCTGATTAAACACACCTGATCCAACTAATCAAAGTGTTCAAGACTACTAGAAATGATCCGCTTGTTAAGTCGTGACGTATGCAATACTGTTTTCAGTCCAAGCCACTACTCATTTGAACTGAGAAAATATTCGTTTATGACCACTCTTTTAGTCACACATTAAAGTGAATTTTATATAAAATTATGGTGTACATGACTATCTCTAGAATTGCTGCATCACAGACACCAATATTTTAAACATTTATAAAAAATATTAACTTTCTGGCCATCTAAGATTAGGCTTGGGCCAATATATTGCGATTTGTGATTTTAGAAAGTATTACATCGCTTTGTAAACATTTATTATTAACATTCCTTGAGTCTCCCCATAGAGTTGTATATAGTGCTTTGGACCCGGAACGTCACACTTAACAAGCGGATTAAGCAGTCGTGGGTTGGGTTAAAGTCTAGATAGGATACAGCTGCGGATATCACATCAATAGCATTATTTTTGTGATGCTGTATAACAATAATTAATATTTTTACATACTGTGACGTTTGGTGTCACGATCACCAGCGTTGCAGCCAGTGTAGATTGCTGGCAAACACACAGATCACATAGGACTACAAATCTGCTGGTAAATGGACTACAAGAACCACTCATGCACCACACACACACACACACAACCAGTTCCTGATCCTGACTGATTACATTCACACAGCTGAAGCTGCCCATGGACTGATTACACACAAACACACAGAAGTGCTGAGTCTTGTTTAGTGACATTACAACGTGTTACCTTTGTCTTGCTTTGCTGTGTTTTTGACCCTCGCCTTGTTTGTTTTAAGTTGTCTGTTGCCTGCCTTGTGACCATCTGCCTGTTTATCGACTACGACTTGCCTGTATACAGTATATCTATTTGCCCCTGTGTTGATCATTGCTTACCTGACCTCACTAATACACCTGCATTGGGATCTGCACCCCAGTGTCACATCACTGTTACAGTTAGTTGGGTTTAGGGTTGGCGTGGGGGTAGACGTTAATAAAATACAATTAATTGGGTAATTTAATAAATAAAAAATACTCTGTACAACTACGGTTTTACAGTACTGTGACGGGGTAGATGTTAATAAAATACAATAAATGGGAAATATAATAAAAAATATAAATAATTCTCGTTAACTTCTGCAACTGTATCTGATCTAGCAACAACTGTGGGTTAGAGCTAAACTTTGCAAAGCTGTGGCTCTCCGGGAATTGAGTTCGAGACCATTGCTCTAGAATTAAGATGAAATGAACTCCTTGTTTTTTTTTTGTTATTGCACTTGTATGTTTATTGTTATACAAATTATTAACAAAAACGGTCACAAAAATTATGACATATTAATGTGTGCATGCCCAGTAGCTGCCGACATGTTCCTTTTGCCATTTATCATGACAAATAAGAGTTTGCTTTATCAAAGAGCACCATTATAAATGTTAGAAATGGCACAGTGGTCTTACATAAAAAAAAGTTGATCTAGTTTGTGAATCTTTATCTTTACTGTAGGAACGGGGCATTTACACAAAATCTGCAGACCGTCTCGGAAAGGGACATTGTCACAGAAAATCTGAACTCAATCAGTCTAACAATTGCGGAGGTAAGAGAGTGCAACACTACAGCACCTTTGTACAACACTTTTGCAATGTTTCAACAACACTAAAGCGTTCATAGGAGAAAATCCTTCTTTAGTTCCTCAGTACTATGGCTTTTATCAAGAACAAACAGTTCAAATTTAATTAGACATTTACATAATTTAGGTTTTTTCTAGCAAAACACCCCACATGGAAAAATACTACTGTGTTTATATGTATAGTACTGATATGTTTTTTAATCACACTAAAGTACTTAGTTGCTATGGTAACACAACAACTATAGTAATTGATCTGCTGTGATGATTTTATAGTTTCTATGTTAACACAACAACCATAGTAATTAATCTGTTGTGGCGATTCTACAGTAGCTATGGTAACACAACAACCATAGTAATTAATCATGGTAACACGACAACTATAGTAATTAATCTGTTGTGGCGATTCTACAGTTGCTATGGTAACACAACAACCATAGTAATTAATCTGTTGTGGCGATTCTACAGTAGCTATGGTAACACAACAACCATAGTAATTAATCATGGTAACACGACAACTATAGTAATTAATCTGTTGTGGTGATTCTACAGTTGCTATGGTAACACAACAACTATAGTAAATAATCATGGTAACACGACAACTATAGTAATTAATCTGTTGTGGTGATTCTACAGTTGCTATGGTAACACAACAACTATAGTAAATAATCTGTTGTGGTGATTCTACAGTTGCTATGGTAACACAACAACCATAGTAATTAATCATGGTAACACGACAACTATAGTAATTAATCTGTTGTGGTGATTCTACAGTTGCTATGGTAACACAACAACTATAGTAAATAATCTGTTGTGGTGATTCTACAGTTGCTATGGTAACACAACAACCATAGTAATTAATCATGGTAACACGACAACTATAGTAATTAATCTGTTGTGGTGATTCTACAGTTGCTATGGTAACACAACAACTATAGTAAATAATCATGGTAACACGACAACTATAGTAATTAATCTGTTGTGGTGATTCTACAGTTGCTATGGTAACACAACAACCATAGTAATTAATCTGTTGTGGCGATTCTACAGTAGCTATGGTAACACAACAACCATAGTAATTAATCATGGTAACACGACAACTATAGTAATTAATCTGTTGTGGCGATTCTACAGTTGCTATGGTAACACAACAACCATAGTAATTAATCATGGTAACACGACAACTATAGTAATTAATCTGTTGTGGTGATTCTACAGTTGCTATGGTAACACAACAACTATAGTAAATAATCATGGTAACACGACAACTATAGTAATTAATCTGTTGTGGTGATTCTACAGTTGCTATGGTAACACAACAACTATAGTAAATAATCTGTTGTGGTGATTCTACAGTTGCTATGGTAACACAACAACCATAGTAATTAATCATGGTAACACGACAACTATAGTAATTAATCTGTTGTGGTGATTCTACAGTTGCTATGGTAACACAACAACTATAGTAAATAATCTGTTGTGGTGATTCTACAGTTGCTATGGTAACACAACAACCATAGTAATTAATCATGGTAACACGACAACTATAGTAATTAATCTGTTGTGGTGATTCTACAGTTGCTATGGTAACACAACAACTATAGTAAATAATCATGGTAACACGACAACTATAGTAATTAATCTGTTGTGGTGATTCTACAGTTGCTATGGTAACACAACAACCATAGTAATTAATCTGTTGTGGCGATTCTACAGTAGCTATGGTAACACAACAACCATAGTAATTAATCATGGTAACACGACAACTATAGTAATTAATCTGTTGTGGCGATTCTACAGTTGCTATGGTAACACAACAACCATAGTAATTAATCATGGTAACACGACAACTATAGTAATTAATCTGTTGTGGTGATTCTACAGTTGCTATGGTAACACAACAACCATAGTAATTAATCATGGTAACACGACAACTATAGTAATTAATCTGTTGTGGTGATTCTACAGTTGCTATGGTAACACAACAACTATAGTAAATAATCTGTTGTGGTGATTCTACAGTTGATATGGTAACACAACAACCATAGTAATTAATCATGGTAACACGACAACTATAGTAATTAATCTGTTGTGGTGATTCTACAGTTGCTATGGTAACACAACAACTATAGTAAATAATCATGGTAACACGACAACTATAGTAATTAATCTGTTGTGGTGATTCTACAGTTGCTATGGTAACACAACAACTATAGTAAATAATCTGTTGTGGTGATTCTACAGTTGCTATGGTAACACAACAACCATAGTAATTAATCATGGTAACACGACAACTATAGTAATTAATCTGTTGTGGTGATTCTACAGTTGCTATGGTAACACAACAACTATAGTAAATAATCATGGTAACACGACAACTATAGTAATTAATCTGTTGTGGTGATTCTACAGTTGCTATGGTAACACAAAAACCATAGTAATTAATCATGGTAACACGACAACTATAGTAATTAATCTGTTGTGGTGATTCTACAGTTGCTATGGTAACACAACAACTATAGTAAATAATCTGTTGTGGTGATTCTACAGTTGCTATGGTAACACAACAACCATAGTAATTAATCATGGTAACACGACAACTATAGTAATTAATCTGTTGTGGTGATTCTACAGTTGCTATGGTAACACAACAACTATAGTAAATAATCATGGTAACACGACAACTATAGTAATTAATCTGTTGTGGTGATTCTACAGTTGCTATGGTAACACAACAACTATAGTAAATAATCTGTTGTGGTGATTCTACAGTTGCTATGGTAACACAACAACCATAGTAATTAATCATGGTAACACGACAACTATAGTAATTAATCTGTTGTGGTGATTCTACAGTTGCTATGGTAACACAACAACTATAGTAAATAATCTGTTGTGGTGATTCTACAGTTGCTATGGTAACACAACAACCATAGTAATTAATCATGGTAACACGACAACTATAGTAATTAATCTGTTGTGGTGATTCTACAGTTGCTATGGTAACACAACAACTATAGTAAATAATCTGTTGTGGTGATTCTACAGTTGCTATGGTAACACAACAACCATAGTAATTAATCATGGTAACACGACAACTATAGTAATTAATCTGTTGTGGTGATTCTACAGTTGCTATGGTAACACAACAACTATAGTAAATAATCATGGTAACACGACAACTATAGTAATTAATCTGTTGTGGTGATTCTACAGTTGCTATGGTAACACAACAACTATAGTAAATAATCTGTTGTGGTGATTCTACAGTTGCTATGGTAACACAACAACCATAGTAATTAATCATGGTAACACGACAACTATAGTAATTAATCTGTTGTGGTGATTCTACAGTTGCTATGGTAACACAACAACTATAGTAAATAATCTGTTGTGGTGATTCTACAGTTGATATGGTAACACAACAACTATAGTAACTGATTTGTTGTGGTGATTCTATATACAGTATAATTCACTTACTATAAATACTATAATGCTATGTTTACTATATATTCAGGTGGGAGTATATATTGAAAAAGTAGTAAATTATGTTTGTATTTAATGCAATGCTATGAGTTCAGTGTGAACTGATATCTCTACTGGATTGGATTGTGGGTACTGTTGTCTCTGCATGTGTGTGCGTGTGCTGATGCATTATGGGTAATGTAGTTGTCCCCAATTTCTCTCTTGCTAGTCTGGATCGTACACTTTCACCGGCTCTTCGTGTCTCTGATCGGAGCCGACTGGATTTTCCTCATGATCCTGGGCTTCATTTTGGGCACCATCAGCTTCCTTATGGACATCTTTGTTGACCTTTTCACAGATGGTGAGTGTCTGTAGGTTTATGTGAAAATACTTACAATATTGAGTTCAACATTTGCTAAGACTTTGTTAAAATGTTCTTGATGTTTATAATAGTTATATAAATATATGATGTTTTTAATACAAATGTATTATATCTGTGAGTCCAGCCCACAGGTGGATCTACTACAGTGTGGCGGATTATCATGTTGTGGTGCAGTATCTGGTGTGGGTCTCATATTCCATGATCCTCATGTGTTTCGCTGCAGGATTCGCAAATATAGTGTCACCTCAAGCCGTAGGTGAGACACACACGTACACATATATACAGTATATATATATACAGAATATGTATACCAGGGGTGGCCAACCCTGTTCCTGGAGAGCCACCTTTCTGCAGATTTCAGTTGCAACCCATATCAAAAACACCTGCCTGTAATTATCATGTGGTGTTCAGGCCCTAATTAATTAGTTCAGGTGTGTTTGATATATACACATTTACACATACACACACACACACACACACACACACACAAACTTATTCATATACACAGTCGCACACATATGCAGATACATATACACACACATACACATATACACATGCACAGCTGCACACACACACACACACACACACACACACACACATACACATGCACAGCTGCACACACACACACA